CCACCCTGGTCTACACGAACACCTGTGCCCACCACACACACCTGCACACACTGTCCACCCTGGTCTACACGAACGCGTGTGCTCACCACACACACCTTGGACTTGCCTGCCTTTTCGCCACTTTTCCTGGGTTCAGGGCTTCCAGTGCACACGGCCCACCTAGAGTCTGCAGGCTTGGGAAGAGGCGAGACAATGAGGAGGCCTGATCTGAGGGCGGGGAGGGTGCGGAGCTGCCTGGACCAGCTCCCCCCTTGATGGACAACCCTAATTAACCTTCGCCACTCTGTGCCAACCTACAGCTCCAGAGTAAACCGGTGACCCACAAACAATACGTCGCCGTCACCGCCCTGCCGGCCGGCTGTGACACGAGAGAGACAGCTCTCTCAGCAGTATCGGGAAATAAGGTGGCCTAGTGGCTCGGGGACATGTGGATCCTGCCCACGTCACACACGAGCTGCCAGAAACAGGATGAGACTGTCAGCAGCCATCAGCTTGAGGCTGCCGGGCCTCCTCCTCAGCCAGGGCACAGGGACCCGCTTCACACACAGAGGCAGAGGCCAGACCGCGGACCGGCACGGGCAGCTCAGTGGCCCCACCTGGCAGAGAGGACCACGCCCACGGGGCTTCTCCTGGGCTGGAGCCTGGATGGGTCAGACCGCATCCCGTCCCTTGGTGGGTTGGAACCGAGGACCTGCTGATCCACCGGGTGCCTACCAACGGTGCCGCTCGAGCTGCGCAGGGTGGGCTCGAGGTACCAGATGCCCTCTGTAAGCAACCAATGGGAAGCAGGGTCCAAAGCTGTGTCCAGCTGTGAGCTGATTCTGACCCCAGGTAGCCCAGGGTGGGGCTGGGCAGAACAGCTCGACAGTGTCCAGGAACGAAGAACGGATGGCCAGAAGTTGGACTCGATAAAGAAGAAGGCAGCCTCAGGGTTGGAGGAAGGCTTACGTGCCGTGGGCAGATGACAGCCCTGCCCACTGGAAGTGCGGAGGGCTTGAAGCCCCGGCTGATGAAGGTCAAGGTCTGCAGCCTTCGGTATGGACGACATCACATACAACCCTCAGGATGGATGGCCACTCCACATGAAAGAGGCCAAAATCCTCACACCTGGACCAACAGCTAACCCCACCATGATAGATGGAGAAAAGAGTCAACGTGTCAGGGAGCTCGTCTTGCTTGGACCCACCATCCATGTTCACGGAAGCAGCCGTCAAGAGAGCACGGCTTCCTGCCCTGGGCAAACCAGCTGCCCACACCCTCTCCGTCAGTGTTAGAAAGCAAGCGAGGATGGTACTTTGAGGACCAAGGTGCATCTGACTCGGGCTGCCTCATTGCGTGTGAAAGTTGGACACTGAATGAGGAAGAGCGGAGAGCGGATGCGTTTGAACTACGGTGCTGTCAAGGATACTGGAAGGACCACGGACTGCCGAAAGAACCGAGAGATTCCGACCCCGAGTGGCCGTACGGAGCAGGGCAGAACTGCTCGGGTGCGTTTCCGAGACAGCAGCTCTTCATGGGAGTGGAAAGCCTCGTCTGGCTCCTGCAGACTGATTGGTGGTTTTGAACCACTGGCCCCTGGGTAACCACGATGGCACCAGGGCTCCACGTGCTGCTACACCCAGTGGGCGTTTCTTCCTGTGTGTTAGAGCCCACAAAGGAAAGGGGGACATAGTGACCACCGGAAAAACAAGCGATCAAACCCAATCTCATGAAAAAGACAGAGAAGCATCAAATACATAAAAATATAAATCAAGCGCTCGGCTGCCAACCGAGAGGTGGGCAGTTAGAATGCACCCAGCACTTGGAGGAAGGGAAGGGAGGATGAGGAGGTAGTCTACTCGCAAGAGATGGACAGTCTCAGCAACGCCGGGGAACAGTCCGGCCCTGCCCTGGATGCACCCCAGAAACAAGGGACAGAGCGACAGCCCGCCCACCATCGAGATCGAAGCTGAAAGAATGAGCTGAGCAAACAGCAGTGCGACCGGAGGCATTTCCAGGGAAGAAGGAGACCAGGGCGGTCAGTATTTCCCTCCGATACGACTGACCTAAAGTCCACGAGTTGGGTGGCTCATTGCAAGGTCAGCAGCTAGAAATCACCGGCTGCCCCACCGGAGGAAAGACAGGGCCTCTTCTACTCCCTAAGTTAGATCTGCGGTCCTGGAAATCCACGGGTATCTTGGAAACCCACCGGGTACGAGACAAATGGACTCAGTGGTGGCGATAACTGAGGTGAGGTGCCGGGGTTTGCAATGCGGCAGTTCCATGCCTGGCTGCAAACGGAGCCATCTGAGGCTCAGAGCTAGCACCCGGCTCTGCGGTAGAAAGATGTGGGCGGCGGCGGCTCCCACCAAGCCTGGCAGCCTCGGAAACCCCTCCTGCAGTCCGCTGTAGAGTCCAGACGGCCGGAGGGCTCTGCGTTTGCTGGTGGCCGGGAGCGGCCAGAGGACAGAGATGCAGCCACGGCGTGCGGAGGCCTCGTATATTTATTTCTGCTTACTCTCCGGCTCCGCTCCCTCGCCAGCCTGGTACAACATGTTTATTTAAGAGATAATGTGGCCGCGGAGGAGTGCGCCTGGCAATAAACGGCTTTTGCAGGCAATTAAATGCAGAAGTGAAATTGAGCTACTGGTCAGCGGAACCAGCCATCCATCTTGAGTGTCTTCCCGTGTCACCGTGGAATCCCTCTCTCCCAACAGGACAGGGATCTATGATTGGGCCACAAATCTCCACCACCCGGAGTGCAGGGGAGGTAGCCAGCGCGGCTCCCGGGGAGCCAGGGGGCAGCTCAGCGTCCCAAGGGCCTGCCTTGGTGGAAGACAACCAACAGGTACCGTCCAGTGGACTCTGTGTGCGTCCGGCGAGGAGGGAGATCCACACGGGGGTCTCAATGGCTGGCTTGTCTGAAATCCAGGGGCAGGCCTTTCTTCCAAGGCACGCTGGGAGGAACTTGAACCGACGACCCCTCGGTGAACAGCCCTTGGTGGACCCATTGCCCGGGCGTCGAATCCCTAGAGGGTGTCCCAGGCTGACGTCAACACAGCAGAGGGTCCTCGGGCCTTTCCTCGTAGGACCTCTGTGTCAGCAGCCCAGTGCGTGACCACGGGGCCACCAGAGCTCCGTGTGCAGGAAGAGAAAGCACTCAAGGGTCACTAGGGCTGGAATCTGCCGATCCCACTAGGTCACCTGACTGGCCACCAAGGTACTGCCTAACTCACAGCGCCCCATGCCTGCCAGCAGAGAACCACGCTCCACAGTTTCTGAAGGAACCCTGGTGACGGGCTGGGTTACTCTTGGGCTGCAGCTGCCAAGCCAGCAGTTCAAACCCACCCAGTGCAGGTGAGGCTTTCTGTTCCCCACGATTCACACCCCCAGGGCCACTTCCGCCCTGTTCTCCAATATGGTCAGGAGGAGTTGGAACCGGCTCTGTGGCGGTGGGAGTTTGGTGTGGCTCTTTCAGAAGGGCTGTGTCAGGCCTTTCTTCCGCGGCACCTCTGGGAGGACTGGAACCCCGTGCTCTGACCCCCAGGCTAACAATCGAGCAGCGCAGTCCCTGTGTGCCTCCCACCCCCGAGTCCCGACAGAACGAGGGACCCAAGAGTTTAGGAGATCTCAAAGTCGCCACACAGCTGCTCTCCCTGGCTTAGAGACACCTGGTGGCCCAGTGGGTTATGCACTGGGCTGCTAACTGCAAGGTCCGCAGTTCACAACCACCCTCCGCTCCACCAGAGAAGGATGGGCTCTCAGCTCCCGTACAGCGCTCCAGTCTCTGACGCCCGCGGGGCAGTTCTACCCTGTCCCACAGGGTCGCTGACAGTCAGCACGGACTCGATGGCAGCCGGCTTGTTATCATCATTATTAATATTTCGTTTGCCTTCTCGCTTTCTCTGCAACAGGTCCACACATGGCCCCCTTTATACATTCTCCACGAAAGCCAGGGGGCAGACGGCAACCCAGGACTCCCCCACTGGAGCCCCTGGGTCCTGAGAATCTGGGGAAGATGCTGCCAGATGTAGACCCAGGGTCTGCCCCAAATCGCCAAGCCAACAGCCCTGGGAAGGCCGGCGGGGACCTCCCGGAAAGAACTCTCGCTTCTAAGACCAACTGGCCTGACGTGCCTTCCAAGTGAAGACCCGCCTAGGTCTGGAAGGACCTTGCGCTGCTGCTGGGGTGCTTCCACCTCCGAGAGGCCCGCGGGGGTGGTGAGGGAGAACTGCTTGCAGGACGTCCCAGGCAGCTGCCTTTGCAGCAGCGGGAGGCCGGGCCTTTCCCCCTCCGTACCCCCGAGAGGACGCCACCCCTCAACCTTCCCGTTACAGCCGGGCGCCGAACCTCTGCACCACCAGGACATCCTATCAGAAGTCCTCTCCCTTCTCTTACCTGTGACGACACCACACGCCACCCAAACGTCGCAGGCACCACAGGCTGCAGCCTTTCAGGAAGCCCGCGATCGCAGGTCCTTTGAGGGTCCAGCATGAGCATCCACACAGTGGAGGGGCTGAACAGTCACGACCCCCCAGGCCCAAAAGGGGAACACGGCAGCTCACAAGAACGTCCAGCTCTCCTTTCTGAACGTGGGCTCAGAACACCACACCCTCGCCCACCCAGAGAGGCAGACCCTAGGGCGCGGGGTGAACTGCCCCTGAGTGCTTCCAAGCGGGTGACTCATTACGGGAGGAGAAGCCTCTTTGTTCTCCCTCAGTACGGCTGGTGGTTTCAAACTGCTGCCCTTGCGGTTAACAGCTCGACGCAGAACTGCTACGCCACCGGGGACCTTTCGATGGGGGCGCTAAGGTGGTCACAAGCGTGTCCTGACCTCCCAAATACACACGTCCTGTTTTGCGCAGGAAAGAGGAGTGACCGAAGCCCCCGTCAACAGCTGTGGCACCCTTTGCCAGGAGAGCCAAAACGGCGCCTGCCCCCGCCCCGGGACGCTGAGCACGGATGGTGTGGCAGAACCTTGATCAAAGGGAGAAGATGTGTGACCCGGAAT